TTGTGGATATACATGGGATTGCTTCTTCGACTTGAGTCACAAATTCGCTGTAAACTTATGTTATGTTAATTAATCAATTGAAAATATATAAATGTGTATAAACGTGTTTATATGTTTACCTTTCAAAATAACGAATCAATATATGCTCGCAATTGAGAAAAATATAAATGTGTGCACTATGGACGTCTTCATCACTCGACCTCCAAACCTCCTTCAATTTCCCACCCAATCACTCAATTTGACAAAAGATGTCTGGAACATATTTTTCCATATATGTCGGCATGACAACACCATAATCATATCTTCTTGGAGCTCGTTTCCTTGTACGTACTTTCGGTGCAAAGTAGTACGATGTGAAATGTGATGTTTCCGTCAAACTTCCCGCAACAATAGAACCTTCAACTTTTGCGAGGCTTTTGGCTTTTCATTTTTAACGTTTTCATGGCCCTTTCATACTGATACATCCATCTGTAATGTACAGGTCCACGAAGCAACGCTTCATACCGGAGGTGGACAACTAGGTGCTCCATGACATCAAAAAATGTCGGCAGAAATAGTTTCTCCAAGTTGCACATTAAGATGAGGATGTTCTCATGAAGTTGTTGAACGACATCCTCTTTAAGAGTGCGTGTGCTCAGATCCCTTAAAAATGCTTCAATTCCTTATAAATTACAAAAATTAAATACATTAGTATAATCATATTTATATGTACATATATATAAAGAAATTAATTAATGTTTGCGTATTATATTACCTGCAAGTGTTTCATGTACTTTTGTTGGTAGTAGCTCCGCAAATGCAAAGGGAAGTATTTGTTGCATAAAGACATGACAATCATGGCTCTTCATCCCGGAGAACATTTGACCTTTCTCAACACAACTTGAGAGTTTTGAAACATACTCATCAGGAAACTTCACTTCTGAAGCCACCCAGTTGAACAACACTGACATTTTTTCTGATGACAGTCTGAATATCGGAACTGGAACTTGCCTATTGCTTTTTATATGTAACTCACTTCTTGAGCAGATATCGGGTAAGTCCAACCTTGATTTTATGTTGTCTTTCGTCTTCCCTGAGACATTCAATATAGTGTTCACGATGTTCTCAAAATAATTATTCTCTATATGCATCACATCGAGGTTGTGGAGCAAAAGAAGATCTTTCCAATATGGCAACTCCCAAAATATACTCTTCTTGTGCCAATTGTGCTGAACACCATAAGAATCTGGCATATTACTGGGAACATGCCAATTACCACCACGATGAGTTGTTTCCAGTGCATAGTAGTAATCGATTTGCGCTTCAGATTGTTCTCCAGTTAAATATGGAGGAGGGGTGTCTCTGGCCACCCTTTTGTGTCTGAACAATGTCTTGTTTCTTCGGTATGGGTGGTAAAGTGGAAGAAATCGACGGTGACAAGCGAACCAAGTTGTCTTCCTACCATTCTTCAACTGGAACGCATATGTCATTCCATTAAAATATGGACAAGCTAATCTCTCATGTGTAGTCCATCCAGACAACATCCCATATGCAAGAAAGTCACTTATGGTCCACAAAAGCATCGCTCGCATCATAAAATTCGTTTTCGTTGAACAATCATATGTCCTTACCCCTATTGACTACAAATCTTTCAACTTTTTTATCAGTGGTTGTAGAAAAACATCGAGAGATCTTTTTGGATGCTTTGGACCAGATTATAATGTGGTCAAGAATAGAAACTCTTGTCACATGCACATCTCCGGTGGCAGGTTGTACGACGTAAGAAAGACTGGCCACAATGAATATTGTCTCCCAGACATTCCAAATGGACTAAATCCATCAGTGCATAATCCAAGATACACATTCCGGCTATTGCGAGCGAAATGTGGATGTACATTGTTAAAATGTTTCCAAGCTCTTGCATCTGATGGATGAGTCATCTCCCCATCCATCTAAGTATGCTCGGCGTGCCATCTCATCCCTCCATCAGTCTCCTCAGATTGGTACAATCTTTTCAAACTGTCTGTGATTGGTAGGTCAACATCCGTTGGTACGGTACCCTATTTTGTCCTCATCCTTGCGGTTTGAATCCTGGCTTCTTACAGAATCGACATTCTTCTAACTGCTCATCATCTCCCCAGTAAATCATGCAGTTGTCGATGCAAACGTCTATCATCTCCGAGGGCAACCCAAGACTATAAACCGATTTCTAAATCTCATAATAAGATTCAGCAGACACATTTTTTTCTCGAAAATACTGTTTAAACAAGTCTGCCCATGCATCCATGCAATTTTCAGGTAGATTGTGATCGGTTTTAATACTCATCATTCTAGCAGCCAACGACAATTTAGAGAGCCCTTCTCTACAACCATTGTAAATTGGCTCGTTCGCAACTTCTAACATTTCATAAAATTTTTTTGCATCTAAGTTTGGTTCTTCAACTTCATCATCATGAGTTACAAATGCATCACCTACCATATCATGAACCCTATCACAATCTATCATATGTTCCTTCTTATGATAACTATTTTCATTACGCAAATGATCAACGACCAGTTCATCCTGAAAATTGATATTACTACTGCTAGCTTCATTCCTACAACTATAAACTTCTCCATGTTGATACCAAATATAGTATTGTGGCATGAAACATCTATTTATTAAATAATTTCAAACATTTTCACGAGAGCCTAATTTTGTGTTGTTGCATTTCCGACAAGGACAGAACATCTTACCGCTTTCATGCGTGAGCAATGTAGAATCTGTTTGATGCATAAATGTCTTCAACCCTTCGAGAAATTCTTTCGTCACTCTCTCGTTATTATCTCTGTGTGTATACAGTCACCTCCTTAACTCGAAAATATTTCCAGTACCGGACAGTTTTTTTTTTCTTTCAAGCTTATACCTGATTGTTTTTTGGTGTGTTTGAAATGAATCACAAATAGTCGTATTTATAGAAATTTTTTATTTGGTAGATAGATATTTACTAGGAATTTACGAGGAAAAGTAGTTACAATACACGTTTTTAAATTTAAAATAAACAAAGCCTCGCTATTTTCTCACTAAATCATATTTCCCTGTAAACTCCTAGTTAAGCTTAACTAGGAGTTTACGAGGAAACAAGAAAAGACATGTAGCTTCTTAGTAATAATGCTTCCTCATAAACTCCTAGTTAAGTTTAACTAGGAATTTACGAGGAAACCAGAAAAGACACGTAGTTTCCTCATAATAGTACTAGGACTTTACGAAGAAACATTTTTTCGTGACTTTACGAGGAAACTACGTGGAACCATGGTTTCCTCATAAAATTCTCATAATATCGTCGTAATTTTACGAAAAAAACATTTTCCTAGTTAAAAAATAGTTTTCTTGTAGTGCAAACATATCACTCTGATTTGCTAATTTTTGCTAATTTTGATCTAATATGAAAAACACGATAATTAATACACCACACATAGCAATCAAATCACTGATAGTACATGAGATTGTCATTGCACCACGCATTATATATATATATATAAATATATAGAATTCCGTAGATAACAAGTATTCGTAGTACATAATTCATACATTTACTCATGTACCTCATACGCGCACATAAGTCCCCTATGCATCTGCATATCTCCATTATATGTGTCGCAGATACAGATGCACCCATACAAACAATCTATGAGTAGTACAGAACTCATACCTATACCCCGACAACTCATGCGTAGTACAATACTCATGCAGTCTCACACCATACAAATATTTTTTTTTTAATTATTTGTAAATCATTACAAAATCTTATATAATAAAGTTGATTTTTTTTTCTCTTCATAGAGGTAAAATATGACACTTGTCATTCTGTCATTCGGACTAATTTTATTAACATTACATTAAATTGTTCATAAATATTTTATAATAATTTATGTCGTTAACATAAATCAGTTATAAATTTATAATCATAAACAAATTTCTGTAAAACTTTTTTATTAAATAACATAATCAATACATTTAGTTATACTGATATCTTTATATCTTTATTATTTTAAAATTATGGAAGATAGATAAAATCTATAATAATAAAGTTGGGTTATCTGCCTTATTAGGCGTCCACGTCACTTTGGAGAGAAGGGGCTTTCGTGACACGTGTCATCACACCAGAGCTTTCACGTTTTTTTAATAATATCAGACGAATCCCGTATACACTTATATAAACTGAGCTTTCTTACATTACGATATTAGGCCCACAAATAAAGCTCTGCAAGAGACCCATTTGAATTAGGTATCGTCGCCGACGCCCTCTTGCACGGTTGCACCTGCGATTTTAACGATAAGACTCCACATACTCTAAGCGTCGTTTTGATTCCTGTAACATCTCATCCTACCATTAATCTGTTCTTTACTCTGGGTTCTCCTGATTTCTCCACTTCGCCCACTTGCAGCATTCAATCTACCTCTTCATTTCCCATTGTAATCAGGTGAAGCTTCAGCTATAAATATCGTTTTTTTCTGCGATGAGCAGTACAACTCAAACTAGATCCAGAAGCATTCTTTTTCCTTGCAACCTATTTTGATGGCGTCTACATACACTCATCTTGCCATCTGAGCGTCGGACGATGCTCTAACCTTATGAAACATCTTCAACTATCATTACTGAAATTGTCGATCTCGATCACATGTTAGTAACTATTTTTAAATATTATACAAAATCTTTTGTTGTTCAGTGTTATATTTGATAGATGATTAATGTTTTTTATATGATTTTGTAGCTATGGAGCAAAGACAGCGAAGGTGACAAACGCATGAACAGTTGTCAAGATCAGAAAGCTCTTAACCCAAAGAGTGCACTAAAGCCATCATCGCTGGTTAAAACGGCATCTAAAGAAAAGAAGAAAGGGGAAAAGAAACAAAACATAAAACCATATTAAGCATGTAAAGGAATCTCTGTCTCTATTGCAAAATCTCACACAAATGAATAAAACGTGTCTCTTATGAGTATTTTTTTTGTTTGGTCGGAGAATTTGTCAGGGAAGTCATGGTTGCATACTCAAAGGAAGTGATTAATGTAAGTATAATGCTCTTTGAACTTCTCTCATAAGCTATGGGATACACACTAATCACCTCAAGGATATGGGATGCACCAACTCATTGCTTCCGCTCCGCCATTTCTACCCTCCGTGTATTCAACCCGAGCTAACGCTACGCTTAACCAAACTCTCAGACAACTCATTTCTCACGGTTCTTCTACAAGACCATGGCGTTTCAGTCGATCTTAAAGAGAGGATGAAAGATGGAGTTCGCAGGTTTAACGAGTAATCTCCTGAAGTGAAGAAATAATTCTACAGCCAAATGCATCTTTGTGTATACAAGTAACTTTGATCTCTACAATTCATCAACTGCACATAAAAATATTCAACCAAAATGTAAGAACTCTTCACACAGGAACACACCATAATATATTTCTCATCAATCCATTCTCTAAAACTTACATCCAGAGAATACATCTTTCAAAGCCATGTTACTTCTTTTTACCAAAAAAAAGGAAGCCATGATACTTCAATTTTAAAATCAAAATATAAAATACATCATTAACAATTAAGAAATACGTCTTTCTTCCTTTATTATAAATATATAAACTACAATATTATATTTTTCATAATTTGAAACACACACATTATATAAACATAATAGTTTTAAAATTGTAAAAGTTATATGACAAAAATAAAAAGAGAGGGAATAGACAATACTTTTTTGTTTCATATTGTGAAGTTGTGTGTAAAATAGAATTAACATTAAAAATATTTTAAAATTGATTTATTTGTAGCAAAATTATTTATTAGACAACAGAAGAAAGAAAATGTACAATAGGCTAGAATTACATGCAGTCCATTAGTTTTTTTGTAACATAATTTTGGTGCAAATGGATTGTATATTTCACACTACATTCGCAACATATAACTAGCAAGTTACAAAATACATATATTTGTAACATAACCACTATGGGACACTATATTAATTTTGGTGCAATTATTAGTTTTTTATTTATTAAATTGATTAGTGAGAATCACTTACGCTATTTCTTTTTGATCTAAGCAACTGCAAACAAAATAATAAACTATTATTACTAACCACTATTAAATAGATCAGAAAAATAATTTTAAATTCATTAGCGAATAAAATATACTAAAATTTTTATATAATTGTTATATGAAGTCCAAAATTTTAAATTAATCTTATATTGCAATGAAAATTAATTATTTTCAATCAAACAATAAACAATTTGACTATTACACTTTCAAATTTTTATGCATATGTTTAAACTTAGATTTTCATGCATGTGTTTAAACTTAAAGTGGCATGCATGTATTTAAGTTTAAATTTATTTTATACTAAAATAATATGCAGAGATTACAATCAAATTAACAGATCTCTATATCATCAATACATATTATATTTTCTAAAATAATATTGAAAAATGTTCTAAAGTTTAAAACCACAACAGAAATTAATATTAGAAAACCAGCGCGTAGCGTCGGAAAACCACTAGTAGATAATAAATTCATATCATCTTAATATATATTACCTCGTTAAAATGGCTAATTCAAGGCAGATTACAGTGTCCACATCCACAGTTTTATTTAATCAATAATATTGTTTCAAACCTTCACGTCATCTTCGGTTTACACCTGATTTTGGATTGATTTTGGTTCTGTAATAAATTACGATGTTCGGTTGGTTTTCTGAAATAAAGGGTTTGGTTTGTGTCGGCAGGAAAAGAAGAATTTCCTGATCCTCCCTCACCTTTCGAGTTCCTTACCTGTGATCTCACTCTCCACGGCAACGCGTGACCTCCACCTCCTCCCCGGCTGCTTCCGATCCATCTCCCACCTCAGATCTCTCCTTCCTCTCCTCGTGGGTCACTCTCTTTTCTCCTCCCTCCCCATTGACTACCACAGCCTCCTCGCTCTCCGTCTCCACCTCTGCTTCCCATCCGTCTCCTCCCTTGCCGTTTACGCACGCTCTCCCTCCTCTCTCGAGCTTCTCCTCCCTCAATGGTCGAGGACCCGCCACGCCAAGCTCGTCCGTTGGCACCAGAGAGCTTCTCAGATCCCTCTTGGCGGCGACTTCGTCTCCATCTTCGAACACTGTGGCTTCCTCGAGTCTGTAGATCTCTCCGCCTTCTATCACTGGCAGAATAATTTGAGGTATGATTGATCGGCCAATTTGATTATAGACAACCCTAATTTTGTGATTCCAGATTATGTTTTTTTTTTCTTTGCGGATTCTATGGTGTATTCTCCCTTTTTTGACGACTAAATAATCGAACATGTTGGTTATGTTTCGTCTCAGTTCAAGAGCTTGTTGTATCTTCCATTTCTCTCGCAATTTGATTACTCCATTAATAATCTCTGTCTCTTCTCTGCATTGTGAAATCTGTGCGCACGTATTTATTGATATGATCCGAACCAGAAACAATACGGAATGAATCTGCCAACTGGTTTCCTTCCACTTTGCCTTACCACTACAATAATGAGTATTAGTTTACGCAAAGCTCAGTTTGCACTTTTAGCACCTAACAAGAACGGTCTCATCACTTTGAATAACATCAGATTGGTATGTACCTTCTCTCTTTCTCTCTTAACATACAGCTCAAAGCGCAATATTCATTTTCTGTTTGAAAAGGCACTTGCTTCAAATGCGACAGAGGCAATGAAGGAGTCACGAATACCAGCTTTCTTGCATTGGTATTTTCCTGTCTTTTCTTTTCAGATTCTTGCTTGCTTACCCTATTTGACTACCAAAAGGTTTGGGTGTTAATGACAGTTAAATGGACTAGGATACCAAGGGATGGATTATGAAGAGTTTTGTGCAGCTTCCATCAGTGTTCATCAGCATGAGTCACTTAATTGTTGGGAGAAGAGTGTTCGCCATGCTTATGAGCTCTTTGAGATGAATAAAAACAGAGTTATTGTCATCAAAGAACTCGCTTCGGTAAGTTTGTCTTGTCACTTGGGACTTTATATTCACTATGTTTTCAGCCAAGTGTTAAAGGGAGAACATACATGTTTTTTCTGTAGGAACTTGGTGAGAACCCATTCTTTCTCCATCACTTTAATGAGAACCCGTGAAAAGCTTTTCAAGGTACGTTTCTTTTGGAAAGAAGGTTTTGGACTTGTGGAAATTGTACATAACTTTAGTTTAATGGAAGGGGTCTCAAAGCTTACGCATACTTTTGCAGATGTTAATGGAGGTAGAAAGCTGGAAAGAAGCTTTGGATTACTGCAAACTTATAGTCCTTGTTTACCAAAGTATGTATGTTTCATCTGGAATATTACTTTTGCTCCTTGACGCAGGAGGTTTGATTAATATTTCTTCTTTTAGACACCTTAGAAACCGATTAGCAGACTTCTATTAGTGCAGGATATATATTTCGAACAAAACTTAAAAGCTCCTTATGAAGTTTGGTTAAAAAAAAATCACATATAAATAAATATGATAAATGTAACTAATTTATCCTTTCATAATTGTAATGTGTGGTTAATTTTGTATAGGTACATCTACTGTTCTCCAGCGGGTGTTTACCTGAAATCTGATGTCTTGCCACATTGTGAGGCATGTAAACTAATCTTACTATTGAGCTGCAGTAATCTCTCTTGATTTCTCCATTTATAAAATGTTTTGTGATCTGTTCATATGTAATCTCATTTTTATTTGGCGCATAACTGATGCAGGTGGATGCAGTTGACCCAAAGAGTAGGCACAAGGGGAAGCTAGAGACAGAGAGAGCTTACTGCAATCAAAAGGTGTAAACTGGACATCTTTACGGTCATGTTCGTTTGGTGGTTGCTAGCGTCAGCGACCAGAGTCAGCGACTAAACGTTGTTCGTTTACTGGTCGCCGGCTCAGCGACCAGACGCTAGCGTTCAGCGATTAAAAATTTTGAACGCTGAAAATTTTAGCGTCAGCGACCAAAACCTTAGGACAAAAAAAAAATTATTTTATTAATAAAATAAATATAAAAATACCGAAAATATAAAAAAATTCAAAACAAAACATAAAAATTAATAAAATTCAGAAAAAAATATAAAGAAATAAATTATTTTCTAAATAAAATAAAAATAATTATACAAAAAATAGAAAAATAAAAAGTTATAAAAATCATTAAATTTAAAAAAGAACAAAAAAATCACAAATAATAATTAAATAACTTTATTAATAAAATAACTAAAATACTACTGAAAATAGAAAAAAATCACCACAAATAAAAATAAAGCATAAGTAATTAAAATTCAAAAAAAAACAAAAAAAATAACAAACAATAATTAAACTATTTATTAATAAAATAAAAATAATAATACAAAATAGAAAAAATCATTAAAAGTCAAAATAAAGCATAAATTGTTTAAAAATTAAAAAAAAAAAACAAAAACAAAAATCGAAAATAATAATTAAATTATTTTATTAATAAAATAAATATAAATAAAGAAAATAAAAAATTATAAAAAAGTAAAAACAAATCATAAAAATCATAAAAAATCCTAAAAGTCATTAATTTTTTTTTAAAAATTATTATTGTATAAATAAAATAAATATAATTATACAAAAGTAGAATTTTTTTATAAAAATCATTATTTTTAAAAAAAATTATAATTAAATAATTTTATTAATAAAATAAATATAATAATACTGAAAATAGAAAAATTCACAAAAAACAAAAATAGAATAACAAACAATAATTTAATTTTTAATAATAAAAAAAAAAAAATACAAAAATAGAATAAATTCATAAAAAATCAAAAAAAATCATAAATTTATTAAAATTTTGAGAAACGAAAACAAATAAACAAATAATATTTTATTATTAAAAGAAATATAATAATAAAAATAGAAAAAATCATAAAACAAAAAAAATCATAAAACTCATTAATTGTTTAAAAAAATCACAAAATAATATATTATTTATTAGTAAAATAAGTCTAAAATACATAAATATCAAATCATAAAAATTCAATAGAAATCTTAAAAGTACTTGTTAAATAAGTTTAATGTTTAGAGTAGCTATAAACTGGTTTTCTTCGAGCTATCATTACTATTCTTTTTTTTTTTAACAATCAATAAACTTTTCCAATTCCAGTTAATACACACAAAGAATATAACAGATAAAAAAATGTAAATAGCAGCCAGTCTCTCAGTTACAATTATCTAATTCAAATTAAAATAATTTATTATCTTAAAATGATTCTCATATATCAGATCAAAGAAAATAAATAAGTGAAATGCTTTTAGCAGCTATTTACAAACTCTGTATTAATCTAGCTATAAAAATCTAGAAAATCTCAACTAAGAAACACTAAACATTGAACTTAGAGCATCTCCAACCCCACTCCATATTTTACTGCAAAATGGAGTGGAGAATGGAGTAATGAAGAAACAAAAATCTCATTACTCCATATTTGGAGTAATCACTTTTTTGTTTCTTCATCACTCCATTTCCCACTCCATTTTGCAGTAAATTATGGAGTGGGGTTGGAGATGCTCTTATTTTACAAGTACCTTTATAATTTTTCTATTTTCTATATTTTATACTTATTTTTAATAAAAAATATTAATATTTTGACTTTTTATTTATGACTTTTTAATAATTTAGTAACTGAAAAAGAATTTTCAAAAAAAAAAATAACTATGATCATATTTTTTGTCAAAAATAATAATTTAAATGTAAAGAACTGATCGCAAGCGACACTGAAACGAACAACTTAGCGACAACCGCTGCGATCAATCGCTGACGCTAGCGACCACCAAACGAACAACTATCAGCGACATCAAGTCGTAGTCGCTGGTCGTTGACTCTGGTCGCTGACTCTGGTCGCTGACGCTAGCGACCACCAAACAAACATGACCTACATCAACGGTCCATTAAACTACAACCCCGTTGAAGAATGGTTCTTCCACCATCTCAAAGCTAGTCGCCCTATCCCAGTTCCAAACTCTGGCATCCAAGTCTCACAACTCTGTCACGTTAAGGTCACACATACCTACTTTCTCATTTAGTCTTGAGCTCTCTTATCTTGCTTCAAGAGTGTAATCATCTATAACGTCAAATCAATGTTTTATGTAATTTTCAGGACTTCGCAACAGCCTTTCTCGCCGTGCTTGGTAACGAGAAAGCCAGCATAGAGATATTCAACATCTCAGGAGAGACGTATGTCACATTTGATGGCTTATCAAGAGCTTGCCCTAAGGTACATAACACGTGAGTCTTCTATATTATTAAAATAGAAGTACACTTATAAAATACCCCTGAGTTTTTCTACTTATTTACAATGTTATGCCACTGAAGTTATTAATTACCCTATCTTATAGGATTCTTTGTCTTTTCACTTTAATTAATGCATTTCCAAAATCAAAATTTAACTAAAAAAAATATGGCAACAATAATTGATGAAAATAATTATTTTCATATATGTCTTTCGTAATTAAATAAATAAATTATATAGAAATTGTTTTACTAATTCCATATACATAATAATTAATTCCAATATTAATTAACTTACCTTTTAGGATTTTTTTCATATTAATTATCTACATATCTTTAAATAGTTAATGAAATATATTGTTTTCAAAGATATATAATTATATTTTTATTATTTATAAGTAATAACTAAAATAAAATTCACAAAAAGAAACATTTATATAATACACAATACATAGATTAATATAAATATATTATGTTATGTATATTTTTTATATAAATAATAGTTCAAGGTAAATTCAGAATAATAAAAGTTAAAAAGTAGAAATATATAGCACCATATATTTTAAATAGTGGATACAACAATTTAGTTATACATTATCATAAAATTTTGATTCATAAAAAAAAACCTTTGTGCAGATATACGGGTCATATTTTTAAAATAAGTATGACACAATGATAGTTTATAAGATAAAATAAAATTAATCAATATAAACTAAAAAATTGTGTGTTTAAAATGTCGTATTATTATTTAAACGGGTAAATCTAGAAATATATATTATCACTTATAAAATATATAAAAACAAACACTTGCGCGGATCAAACAATAAACTTTTCGGTATTCTTCTGTCAAAATTAAATCCATAAGTAATTTGTAACCATTTAATTGATACTTCATTTTTAATTTTACAAATTTCAATCCAAATGTTTTATATATTAAAAATTTTATATAATTTGAACATCATGCTTTTTCTTAGAAATATTATAACTAATTTATCATTTTTTTGTATACCATATTAACTCTTACTTCTCAAGATTTGATGTATCTTTAACTGAAAAATATTTTCAATATATCGTCTACATGTTAGATTTGTTTGTATGATACCCAATATTTTTGATACAATAATTTGTTAACACACAAAAAAAAACTTAATGTAATATAATTAATTTTTACAAAAATATCATTTAATATAAAAATTAAAAAAGTAAAATTAATACCCGTGCGACCGCACGGGTCAAGGATTATTTCTTGAGTAACTTGAGTTGCAAGTGATGTAAAACTTGTAATGTTTTAAACTCTTATCAGGCTGGTGGGTTTCCAGAGCCAGAGATTGTTCACTACAACCCTAAAGAGTTTGACTTTGTGAAAAAGGCTTTCCCTTTCCGTGACCAGGTAAACCTCCAACACAACATCAACGAATCCAATTTCTAAAAAAATAAAAGAGTATTTGCACTCCATACACACACTAAACCTCATAATTCACTCTATACCCTATTTCTTTCTTTATCTCTCCTCCCCACACATTACTTTTTTCCCCACCAAAAATGGCAAATCCCTAATTTCCTATTTTCTTATGGATTTCTATCTAATTCACTCAAAATAAAATTGCTGTTTTGTTTTATGTCTTATCTTACAGCATTTTGCGTCGGTGGAGAAAGCAAAGAATGTCCTTGGATGGAAGCCAGAGTTTGACTTGGTAGGTGTTACCCATTCTGCAGAATTCTGTGGCCAGCAAACCAAAGCACTGGTTTCGTTTCGTTTAATTTGATTTGATATCATATAAAATCATATAACTTATCCAAGTCAGTAGGTTTGATTTCGGTAAATTAAGATGTGTGATTGTGTGCATTCTCATATTGTATAAACTCTATCAATTAATAATATTAAATTATAATATTTTATTAATTTAAAAAAAAGTTAAAGTTTTATATTTAAAATGTACATTGTATATAAAATAAGATAAATTTTTGTTTTATGGTATATGTATTAACTAAGTTTTAGAAAGAGAAAATGCCTCAAATGACACTAAACTAAGTTTTTCTTCCCAAATTACCACTCAAGATTCAAAATTACAAAATTAGGTTTCATTAATAGGATTATTTACCTTTATACCCCAATATCCTTCTTTAATTATATTAAATAAAAAAATTGAAAATCCCAATCTCGACGTATGTCTCTCATCTCCGACTCTATGCCGTCTCTCAGCTCCACCGCCATCAGCTCCGCTGCAATCATCTCTGCCGTCATCAGCTCCATAGTCGTCTGCTCCGCCGGCACTTGGTTGGCGGTCCTTCAGCTTCGCGGAATTCTACCATTTTCTTTGTTAACCGGAGGAGATCGTTAAAGCTATTCCGTATGTTGTGTTGTGTATTATCATTTACATGATCATTAAGTTAGATGATGAGAGTGATCTGGGCAGGTTCTAGATACAGATTTTGGGATCAATTTTTCATCTATAACTTGGATTTACATCATATCTCTTTGACTTCAATAGCGCTATTGGACATAATTGAGTTCTGAGGTATCAAACTAGCATCATTAAGTTGTTTGTGGAAAAACTTAGTTGGCTAGTTTTGTAGATGTTCTTATTCTCTTTTTAATTGTCAAAAATTTTTTTTATTATGTTGGTTCAGTGGACATGGTAGCTTCTCAAATGATCAAGTTGAACAGTGTTGTTGGTCACCTTCTTCATTTTTCAACTCTAGTTCCTTACCACGGCTGGTTAGTTTTTGACCTTATCAATTGTGCTCGTGTTAGAGTCATTTGGCATATTGAAAGGTAAAACTTTCCGTCCAAATTGTATTATTTTGTCTTAGTTTTTGTTCCATGGAATAACATTTTTTGGTTGTTGTTTGTAGTGAAGGTGGTAAGCTTCTTTTGGAACCGAATCGTGCTTTGAGACCAGTTGGTTTCTTTGTCTGGTCAGCCACTCCAGTGTACAGGAAGAACGAGGAAGATCCTGGTATATGGAAAGGTAGTTTATTTTTCCTTTCCTCTTCTTTTGTTCGCTGTTTATCGCAAAATTGCCTTTTGGAATTTGATTTTACCTTCTTTGTATTGTGTTATAGCAATGTCTGAGCTTACAAAGGCAATGTGTTGGAAGCTGGTGGCAATTAAGAAAGAAAAATTGAACGAGGTTGGTGCTGCCATTTATCAAAAGCCAATAAATGACTGTTACAACAAAAGACCTCAGAACGATCCACCTCTCTGCAAAGATTCCGATGATCAAAATGCAGCCTGGTAGAGTAGCCTGCCTTTAAACTCTTACTCAGTTCACTAGTAAAGCAATTGCAATCTGATGCTCACATGTTTGATTTACTGTTTGTAGGAATGTTCCACTCGAGGCATGTATGCATAAAGTGACAGAAGATTTCACAGCGGACCAAGAGAAGTGGAAGACTGTTGTCTCAAAGTCATACATCGATGGCATGGGGATAGATTGGTCTAACGTGAGAAACGTGATGGACATGAAAGCAGTCTACCCACGATTAAAGAAGTGGTGTGGTTACTACTTTTATTTGCTATCCTTTTTTTTCTTTCTAATTAAATATAATTTCTTTCAGGAACCCTTTCCTAGACATTGTACTTGCTATCCTAATTTTTTTTTCATTTTAATTAAATATTAATTTTGTAGGAATTAATTCTTAGATATTTTACTTGCTATCATAACATGATATATATGTAAGTTTGTTAATATATACCTTTTTCACTTGCTATCCTAGCACATTTCCTTTTTTAATTATTAAATTTTCAGGAAGGTTTTTCTAAATATTTTACTTATTATTCTAACATTTTTTTTTAACTAACTATAAAATTTTCAGGAAGCTCTTCCTAAATATTTTACTTGCTATCCTATTTTTTTTCCTTTTTAATTTAATATTAAATTTTCAGGTAACCTTGCTAAACCTTTTTAGTTGTTATCATAATTAATATGATATATATTTAAGTGTGTTAATATGTACATTTTTCACTTGCTATCCTAATATTTTCCTTTTTAAATATTAAATTTTCAGGAAACCCTTCCTAAATATTTTACTTTCTATCCTAACATTGTTTTATTTTTAATTAAATATAAAATTTTCAAGAACCCTTTCCTAAACATTTTACTTGTTATCCTAACATTTTTTTTTAACTAAATATAAAATTTTCAGGAAGCTCTTCCTAAACATTTTACTTGCTATCCTATTTTTTTCCTTTTTAATTTAATATTAAATTTTCAGGTAACCTTGCTAAACCTTTTTAGTTGTTATCATAATTAATATGATATATATGTAAGTGTGTTGTACATATTTCACTTGCTATCCTAATATTTTCCTTTTTAAATATTAAATTTTCAGGAAACCCTTCCTAAATATTTTACTTTCTATCCTAACATTGTTTTATTTTTAATTAAATATAAAATTTTCAAGAACCCTTTCCTAAACATTTTATTTGCTATCCCTTTTTTTCTATTTAATATAATTTTTTCAGGAAACCCTTCCTAAACATTTTACTTGGTATCCTATATTTTTCCTTTTAGTTTAATATTACATTTTCAGGAAGCTATTCCTAATCGACATAAATTTTTAACTGTTTTTCCTTGACTTTGAACCAATTTTATACTTCAGCTCAGTTAGTGTTAGTCTGAGAGGTAATAAAACTCCCATCGTGTTACTATCCTGCGTAACCAAGTAATAAATATTTCAAAGTTTGTTAACACCAAATCTTCTGGAAAACTTTCTTGAATCTACATAAATCCTTCCTGAAAATTTAGAAAAACTACACAGTTTCACAAGCACAAGTAAGAGACTAACAATGTCATAAGGAAATTCACGAGCCTACCAAAGATATCAATAGACGTAAGAAAAACAAGAAGACACAAAGCAAAAAAAGATTCAAATTTGTTATTATCAAAATATTCTGGAAAGCTTTCCTGAAACTACACAAATCCTTCCTGAAATTTTAAAAACACTACACAGTTTCACAAGCACAAGTACAAGTACAACCACAAGTAAGAGACTAACAATTTCATAAGAAAATTCACGAGCCTATCAAAGATATAACATGACTAAGCCAAACAAGAAAACACCAAAAAAAAAATCAAATTTTTTAACATCGAATTTTCTGGAAAGCTTTCTGAAACTACATAATGATTCCTGAAATTTTAAAAATACTACAAAGTTTCACAACCACAAGCACAAGCACAAGCACAAGCACAAGCACAAGCACAAGCAAGAGATTAACAATGTTATAAGCAAATTCACGAGCCAACCAAAGATATCAACATGCATAAGTCAACAAGTAAAATAAATAACTTCATTTGTATAATTGAGGATGAAGAAATGAGCTAAGTAATTTTATTTTTAAAAATTAGACAACTTCATTTGATTCTTACCAATATGGTGTACAATTCTTATTTTGGTTAAACCACGACATGTATAACGAGACTTTCCTCAATTGCATTCAAAATCTTAATTTTGTTTGTTTCTGTATGATTTTCTTCTTTCTTATACAATTAACCATCAATTTCATCAAACGTAGAAGACTGATGAACTAAACTTACAAAGAAAAAGCACAAAGCGACTTGCAGAATTCTAACCAAAGGTAAGTCTTGAAACCCATTAAAAAATCACAAAAATGATAAGAGATAAGTAGTAGCATTGAACCAAGATTAATCTTCAGGATAATGTATTCTAAAATTTGGAAAGCCTTGAGCGTGTTCAGGATGAGTTTTTGGATTGAAGATAATGTATTCTAAAATTTGGAAAGCCTTGAGCGTGTTCAGGATGAGTTTTTGGATTGAAGATAATGTATTCTAGAATTTGGAACGCCATGAACGTGTTTAGGATAGGTTTCCAGATAAATATTAATCTTCAGGATATACTTTAAGGTTTAAGGTTTAAGGTTTAAGGTTTAAGGTTTAGAGTTTAGGGTTTAGAGTTGATGTTTTAGGGTTTATAGCTTAAAGTTCATGTTTTAGGGGTTTGGGTGTAGGGTTGATTTTTTTTAAGGGTTTAGGTTTAGAGTTTAGAGTTGAAGGTTTAGGTCTTAGGATTTAAGGTAATTTTTTTAGGGTTTAGGTTTTAAAGTTTAAGGTTTAGGGTTTAGAGTTTATGTTTTAAGGTTTAGAGTTTAATATATTAATCTTCAGGATAATGTATTCTAAAATTTGGAAAGCATTGAGAGTGTTCATGATGAGTTTCCGGACCGAAGATAATGTATTATAAAATTTGGAAAGCCATGAGCGTGTTCATGATGAGCTTCCAGATAATAAATTAATCTCCAGGAAGCTTTTCTAAATTATTTGGAAAGGCTTTCCTGAGATTTTTAAAGAGTTTATGTTGTTTTAAAAACACATTCTTAAAGATTGAGAAAGACATTATCAACTTTTAGAAAGATCTTACTAACATGTGTATGAGTATTTTGTAGACATCTAGATTGTTAAGCTTTAGAATTTATGAAGCTTTCTTGAATTCATAGGAAGGATTCACACGAATTTAAGAAGACCATCCTAAATTGTATGTTAATTACTAGTTGATAAAAAAAATTTTATGAAGCTTTCTAAATTCTTAGGAAAGGCTTTCCTGAAAATTTTCAAAAAAACATTCTATTGTTTGAAAAAGACATTATTAAAGATTGAGAAAGACATTATAAATTTAGAAATATCTTACTAAAATGTGTATGACTATTTTTAGATAACTAGAAATGATATAGTTTTTGAATTTATGAAGTTTTCTGGAATTTTTAGAAAGATTCATACAAATTTAGGAAGCTTTTCTAAACTTTTAGGTTAGGCTTTCCTGAAAATTTTTAAAAGTTTTTCTGTTGTTTTGAAAAGACATTCTTAAAGATTGAGAAAAACACTATAAACTTTTAGAAAAATCTTATTAAAATGTGTATGAGTATTTTAAGATATCTAGAAATGTTAAGTTATATAATTTATGAAGCTTTCTTAAACGTTTAGGAAAGATTCACACGAATTTAGGAAGACCATCCTAAATTGTATGTAAATTATTAGTTGCTGAAAAACAAATTTAGGAAACTTTTTCAAATTCTCAGGAAAGGGTTCCCTGAATTTTTTAAAGAAATTCTATTGTTTAAAAAAGACATTCTTAAAGATTGAGAAAGAGAATATAAGCTTTTTGGAACATCTTACTAAAACGTGTATGAGTATTTTTATGAAGCTTAGGATGACCATCCTAAATTGAATGTTAATTACTAGTTGATCAAGAAAAAAAATTCAGGAAGCTTTTCTAAACTACTGATACATTTTCTTACATTTGCTTATCTTTACTAGTAGGTTATTACAGATTCAACTAGTTGTATCAAGCAAACTACTGATACATTTGCTTCTCTTGCTCCTTTGAATTATATTCCAATTTTTGCCTGTGTAGAGAGAAAAACATGCACATCATTTCTAAATTTTTTTGTTTGTTTCTTTTCTATGATTTTCTTCTTTCTTAGACCATTCAGGATAAGCTTCCTGGTCATGTACTAAACTTTCCAAAAAATTTGAATCCTGCAAGTTATTACTGATTAAGCTAGCAGTAACAAGCAAACTACTATTACATTTGGTTCTCATGTTATATGTTGGAGTTTCTTATTCTTATGTGTTCTATTCTTTTTCTTTTCAATGGTTTGTTGATGATTTACCTTTTTAATGTTCATTTTATTGATCTTGTTTATTTTATGGTTACGTGATATCCACCAGATCACATATATATTAGTTTTTAGAAGCCTATCCTGAATAAGTTCTGGAAAGCTTTCCTGAAATTATACAAATCTTTTTTTCAAATTTAAAAAACACTACACAGTTTCACAAGCACAAGCAAGAGACTAACAATGTCATAAGAAAATTCACGAGCCTACCAGAGATATTAACATGCGTAAACGGTAAACCAAACAATAAGACACCAAAGCAAAAAAAAATTCAAATTTGTTAACATCAAATTTTCTGGAAAGCTTTCCTGAAATTATACAAATCTTTTCTGATATTTAAAAACCACTACACAGTTTCACAAGCACAAGAAAAAAAACTAACAATATCATAAGCAAATTTACGAGCCTATCAAAGATATTAACATGGGTAAGCCAAACAAGAAGACACCAAACAAAAAGTATTCAAATTTGTTAACATCAACTTTTCAGGAAAGCTTTCCTGAAACTACACAAATCCTTCCTGCAATTTAAAAAACACACACTGTTTGACTTAGTAAGTGAAGGCGTATGCTGACTCCTTTTATTTTCTGGAAACCTATCCTAAAAGTACCATAAACTATAACACATTTAGTATTTTCTTGATATAATTACAAATTGCTTGAAAACATCCAGAAAGTTTTTCAATAACAATCCAAATGAAAAAAAAACATCCTTTGGTTTATGTCTAACTATTCTGGCTTTAAAATACCCGAGACAGTTCTGATATAAGCAGCGCTCGCACATTGGTTTATTGTCACTCTTGGCTTTCGCTATGATGTTATAGGAAACTTGAGATCAGGCAGTGACAGTATTTCATGTACTGGATCTTCCATCGTGTTGTTGTCCTGTGTAAACATGATGAGTTTTTCTTTCAAAATACATTCAACTACACCTTTCAGAATAAATATTACCACATTTTCTGGAGATATATCTTCTGTTAGAGTGCTCTCAACTATCGAGATATAGGCTGAGGTTGAATGTTGGTTGATTGCCGATTTTTCATTTGGATCTGATCCGATCGGATACCTCAGAGTGCTAGTCTTGATGGTAATGAATCTTCCATCTTGTCTCTGTCCTGCGTAAACAAGAGAAACAAAAATTCAAATTATTTTGGAAGGCTTACTGTGACGCTTCCTGAAAACTTTATAAACACACTAC